GAGTACACACACCAAAGATAACTGAGACCGGAGGGGGAAGGGCACTCTGGAGGCCCCTCAGGACAGACACGGGACGGCAGGCCTCCAGAGGGGTACCCGTTCAGGGACCCATGGCGGATCAGGCAGTTCGGAGTGTCATGGCGGAGCAGGCAGACTAGGAGGCCATGGCGGAGCAGACAGTTCAGGATGCCATGGCAGAGTAGGGAGGTCAGGAGGCCATGGCGGAGCAGGCAGACTAGGAAGCCATGGCGGAGCAGGCAGACTAGGAGGCCATGGTGGAGCAGGCAGACTAAGAGGCCATGGCGGAGCAGGCAGTTCAGGAGGCCATGGCGGAGCAGACAGTTCAGGATGCCATGGCAGAGTAGGGAGGTCAGGAGGCCATGGCGGAGCAGGCAGACTAGGAAGCCATGGCGGAGCAGGCAGACTAGGAGGCCATGGCGGAGCAGACAGTTCAGGATGCCATGGCAGAGTAGGGAGGTCAGGAGGCCATGGCGGAGCAGGCAGACTAGGAAGCCATGGCGGAGCAGGCAGACTAGGAGGCCATGGTGGAGCAGGCAGACTAAGAGGCCATGGCGGAGCAGGCAGTTCAGGAGGCCATGGCGGAGCAGGCAGACTAGGAAGCCATGGCGGAGCAGGCAGACTAGGAGGCCATGGTGGAGCTGGCAGACTAAGAGGCCATGGCGGAGCAGACAGTTCAGGAGGTCATGGCGGAGTAGACAGTTCAGGAGGCCATGGCGGAACAGGGAGCTCGGGGAGCCTGGCCTCGGCACTCGGCCCGGCCTCGACGGATGGACCCTTACTACCCCCCCCCAAAAAAAAATCCTTGGGAAGAATGTCGGATATCGATTTCAGAGGCTCTTCGTAGGCCTAATTCGGGAACTGTGGCCCTCCCTAGGCTGGACATGGGGACTGGAGCCCTTTCTGTGCTAAAATCAGGGGCTGGAGCCGACACTGCAGCGAGCTCTGGGGCTGGAGCCGACACTGGAGCGAGCTCTGGGGCTAGGATGAGGGCGGAGAACAGTGTTTTTATCCTCCTCCTCCTCCTTTGGTTAGAGGTGAATGGCGCGGCCGGTGGGCTTGACATCGGCGCAGCTGGTGGGCTGGAGAAAGCCGCGGCCGGTGGGCATGACTGAGGAACGGCTGGCGGGCTTGATAATGCCACAACCAGCAGGCTTGACTGAGGAACGGCCAGTGGACTTGAATGAGGAGCGGCCGGCGGGCTTGGGAATGCCGCGGCCGGCGGGCTTGCCTGAGGAACGGCCGGCGGACTTGATGGCGGGCTGGTTCTGGCTCGGGGCCGGACGCTCTCCAGACAACAGAGGATCCCTTCCCTCCAGCTTAGTCCCGTGGTGTCTGGGAGGGCCACGGGGCGATGGTAGTTGACCCTGTGCCAGAACAAAGAGTTGATGGTGGCATCATGCCCACAGAGCTCCCTGGCATACTCGACGAAGGGGAGATCTCTACGGGCTAGGGCAATGAAGCGTGCCGCGATCTCCATAATTGTGGGGGGAGCAAAGGAAAACAAAAAAACTTAAAAAAAAAACTAAAACAAAAACGGGGAGAAGGGGCACCGCTTACTTTCTGTTTACGGTGCTGTCTACTGTCACGGTGTGCTTATGGTGAGGAGCGAGGAACAAGGAACGAGGAGAACACAGGAGAATCATAATTAACAGTCTTTATTGACATCTAGGGAATCACACGTAGGACATGGGATTGACGTTCAAGACAGCACACTAGACATGGAAACACACAGGGCTTAAATCATGGAAACTAATGAGGGAACACCTGGAAACAATGAACATGATGACATGAGGGAAAACACAGCTGGAAACAAATGAACACAATCAGGGCAGGAACAGGAAGACCAAATAAGGGCATAAACATAACATGGAGCACGTGGGGGAGGAAAACACAAGACACAGGACTGACAGATGGCCATATTTTAAACTTATTTAAAATGATAATGTTTAGGAAAAGGATGAGTCAAAATTACAGATTATAGGCATTTTATCTTCTCCATAAACAAGTGGAAGCTATCTTATTATGCAAAGAGTTGAGGATTTTAGAAAGCATTAGCTTGCTTTCCATCTGCCGTTTAAGATGTACAAAAAAAAATCTGGTCTGAACAGAAATGGCAGGCAGACTGAATGAGAATGTAAACCCACTGTCTGACAGCAGGTGGCGCTTATGGAACAGCAGAAATAGAATTGTTTCCCCAGTAACCTCTGTAAACAAAGCAGCGCTGCACTTAAAAACACTGCAGCAGCAGGCAATACACAAAGAGATGATGAGAAGCAAATGCCATGGAAAAGCCGGTTGGTTCAGCCATATGCAATAATCTTATTCATTAATTCATTTATTATTTCATATTTTCTCTCTGCACTGTGCTTTCTGTCATGTCAGGTCAGAGGACCCAAAACAAAGTTTTTATTACTGTGGGGACTTCTTTTATTGTGGTTTATCATCAAACGTGCAACCGTTTCATCTCTACTCTTTATGGTTTTCTGATTGGTCAAATGGCCTAGTCTGTTGTGATTGGTCAACGACTTGTGCATCGGAAATGTTATGCCCCTTACCATAATCAGGTTTCAGCTCCTGAGGCTTCATGAGCAGCTGTAAACGGTATTATATGGCATATAAACTAACGTCTCCTTGTCATGGCTAAATCATTCACCCAACTGTCCTTAGAGGGCGGACCAAAGCAGCCAGTAGGCGGGCATTATGCAAATGTGTAACCTGATGGCGTAACTAAGTCACGGAAATTTCTATTTCTATAAACTAAATGACCTGTGATATGCAGATGATATGGCGCTGGTGGGACGTGTAAAAGATATTCAGTCATTAGATACCTACCTCAATTTTGTTAATTTTATTAAAATTTGGAAGGAGGAGAGTTCTTTGCAGCTTAATATTAGTAAAACTAAAGTAATGTGTTATGGGGCTGATAATGTACGAGCACATTGCAAACCTTTGTTAGTTAATGGAGAGGAAGTTGAACAAGTGGGATTTTTGTTTTAAATATTTAGGTACAGAGACTGTCTCCCAATTTTCATTTGATAAGCATTCAGACAATGTTTTAAAAAAGGCTTATTGAGAAAGCTGAGGAGTTTTAACATTGAAAACGACATTCTGATAGTTGTATATAAGTCACTTATTGTATTGAATCTGTTCTTACTTGTAATATTGTATCCTGGTTTAACTCTTTCTGTGAAAAGCAAAAACAGACTTTTAAGGATTATAAACGTGGCGAGTAAAATAATTGGTGAGAGACAAGTACACCTCTCACTGATCTCTATACTGTGGCATTAAAAAGGAAACCCTCTGTTAGTGTGGAAGACTCTTCTCATCCCCTGCATAGTTCTTTATAGTTACTTCCATCTGGCAGACAGTATGAAGTGCCTTTGGTGAAAAAGGCCAAGAATAAGAAAACTTTGGTATTTTAAATGGGATCTTGAAATGGATTTTTATGTATTATTACAGCTGTATTTTTAAAGTGATGTATGCAATGCTAATTTGTGTTAGTGATTATTTGTATTGT